GTGTGTGTGTGTGTGTGTGTGTGTGTGTGTGTGTGTGTGTGTGTGTGTGTGTGTGTTGGGGGGGTTCAGGTGGACTACAGTAGGGATATTGTTTGCACAGGAATCCTGATTCTCCAGTATGATTGTCTTACAATCAAGGACATCAACAGGACGAACATCTAGGTATCCAACCTGAACCTTAAATAAAAGTAAGAACTGTGAAAAGTTGCACATGGTTGACACTTCCACCTTACATGTCAGAGTGGGTAGAACAAGGAAGAGGAAGCTTGTTGTGCTTCTGCACAAGCTGAATTAGTGCGAAAACACGAAAAATTAGCCGAGCTCGGAGGCAGTGCATAAGAACATGCAGGAAAAGCAAAGCAATTAAGTGAACCTTGTAGTAGTTGGGAAATTATGATAATTAGCATCAAATCAAGTCTTTGATCTACTCGAAAGAGAGTAAGTTAGTGGGTCATGACAGCCTTCTTTAGGCTAATGAATTCTTAAAATAAAAAGGAGACAGGATGTTTGTCCACTCTTTTTTTTTTAAAAAAAAAACAACAACACACAAGTGGATCTCTGCAGCAGCAAACAATGAATTCTGCGCGTAAAACAATCTCATGCAGAGGTTAACCAGCAGTCCACCTGTGTCTGCATCATTTCTCCTGCACGCTTTGCAGAGGAGACTTATGCATGAACTTGACTCTTTAAGGCACAACTCGGTCCTAGCAGGTTAATGCCTGATGGCTAACGCGGTCTCCTTACCGTTACTGGCTGTGATCTCGGCTTGCACATTCCACACACACTGCAAAACTAAAACAACTCCAACAAAAAGGTCGAACGTCTTCACAGGCGCCATATCCAAGTTCCCGCTGCCGATTTCTTCTCAGTATCCCGATTTTTTTCTTCTTCTTCGTCTTCTTTTAGAGTCCGTCTCTGTCACGCACAGACACCGCTCCCCCGAGAAGACTCCGTAACTCTCCTGCCTGTCCTGCTGCTTTTAAAAGGGAAACCTGCCTGCGCTGCACTGAGCTGTTTTTTTGTTCCAGCGTGTGCCACGCCGCGCGCTCCTGGACAGTAAACGCGCTCTCCGCCTCCAAAATTAAGCAAAAATAAATATCAGCAAACAAAGTGACCGCATAAATGCGAATCTCAGTCCTTGCACTGTAATGTCATCCCACAGGACGGAGATGCAGAGCGTTAGTCAGACAAATAAAGGCTAAAAATGCGCTCCTGGAGAAGAGTGCGCTCTCGCCGTCATCAACTCCTCAGAGCCAATGACCCTTCTTCTTCTGTTTGATGCTCCGCGTGTGCAGGAGAAGCTGGGGAGGCAAACCCAACGAGCTGTCGCGGACACAGGCAGGTATCTGAGTGATGTAGGAAAATATTGCGAGCAGAAATACTTTGGAGGTTCAGGATGACGCATTTGAAGGCTCCCCGGTGGACAAAAGGGACTTTCACTCAGAGGGGCTTGTTTTTATGAAAGATGGAGCAATAGACACAGCAGACTTTGGCTGTACAGAAGTACAGACTGGCTCTATTTTTAGTGTCCGTCTTACTTCTTTTCCTCCTCGTGCATTTCTTTCAATTAAGAATGATTTGTAGACTCCACTTCTGTCCCATCGCTCACCTTTCCCCTAGACTCAGGTGATTGAACTGTGAGAGCGCCCTCTTCAGATACATAACATTAATACTTTTGTTCTATTGGAAATAGCTTACTTCTTCACTGATGGTGAAAATACATGAAACCTGACTTTTTCTGTTTAAATGCACATTATCATTTCCTGTGACTAAATATGTGGAAAACCTTTGAAACCATAACTGATAAATAAAATGAGCTATGCGTTAACTCCAAAGTGATGTTACTTAATTACACTTAATTAACCTTAAGCATCAGTTAGATCTTAGCTCTAGAGGTAAAATTCCGTATTAAATCTCCGGTAAACAAAGTTGCAAAATACTACAAACAAAAATCAAA